ACACACACACACACACACACACACACACACACACACACACACACACAGGTTTGTTTTGCTATCTTTGTGGGGCCTTTGCATTGACTTCCATTCATTTTTCATTCATTTCTATAGCCTAACCATGACCATTATCCATATCCTAACCATTACCAGTACATACCTAACCCTAAACCTAACACATCCTCAATTCACACCTTAGTCCTAAACCTAGCCCCTAACCCACCAACGGGACTTCTTCTTATGGGGCCCGGGCGTTGGGCCCCATAAGGAGCAGTTGGTCCTCACAATGTAGTATAAGTTGGAAAAATGGGCCTCACAAAGTAGCATAAACAAGGACACACACACACACACACACACACTTTATCAGAAAGAGTCCTAACAAGGCAGAGTTTTCACATTTGTTCTTTAGTCACAGAAATGGGTCACATCTCGTTTTCCTGTTCTCCATCTCATCGTTCTGGGTCAGTCCATCTCACTCACACACACATGCGCACACACGCACGCACGCGCGCACACACACACAGTTTAACTTCCAGCTAAAAGAGCTTGATCAGGCAGATCAAGTGAGTCAGCTAAACAAGGCGTCTTTGTCTAATGTGAGTATTTAAAATGCTTTATTCTGCCAATTGTGTGTGTGTGTGTGTGTGCGTGTGTGTGTGTGTCTATGAAACTCACAAACATCTATCTACACACACAATGCAACAGTGAACATGGGTTCTTATTATCTGGTGTGTTTACAGAAGTCTTTCATTGCTCACTAATCACCACACACACACACACACACACACACACACACACACAGACAGAGTGAAGCAGCTAAACGCCTCACACACTTACCGTAAACTCCCCGGTGACTGCGTCAAAGCCAACGTGGATGGTGTGCTCGAAGTCGGACGGCAGTGAAATCTCTGGACGCTCCTTCTTCTTATAGGCTGAACATGAAAAGAGCAGCAGAGAAATGTCCAGATTTTTATTTCAACCTAAAGAACGGCTTTTAAGGGCTTATTTTTACAATAAATGTTTAATTACGCGTCATGAATTGACCCTCAGGTGTTTCTGGTTTTAAGTAAAGTGATTTACAGTGTGTCGACGGCCTGATCGGGTTCAAAGGTCAGCCTTCGTGTCAGCTTTAATAAACTTTAAAAAACAGGTAACAACACCAGCTGTGGGACAGAAGACCGTTAAACACCTGGATCTTAATTAAAGAGGTTCAACTCCTTTTCAGACTTTTTCTACTAAACTTGTCCTAAAGTCTGTCTTAGAAGTGAAACTTTAACATATTTAAGAAAAAGGTCCAAGATAGATTACAAAGTACTTGTATATTGATTTTATTTACTTTATTGACGTGATTTAAAAAGAGGAAACCTCCAACTCTGTTTGGATTTTAATATTTCTCAGCTGGTACTGAAATAGCTTCACTGGCATGCAGAAGTAGATAAAATTTAGGGCTTTTCTGCTCTAAATCATTGTTCCTTGTTGGTACTGCTCAGAAAAGTGCTACCTAACATTCTTTAGGATTATATTTTGGACATTTCATTCAAGGAGCTCATAGACAAGGTATTTATTGGACAAACTCCAATTGTCCTAAATTTTCCTACCAGTGCTGGTTAAAGCTCACTGCACTACTTGTGACTTAATCCTGGGTAACAAATTACAGGCTTATTTTATCTTATTGCCAAATAAATACTGCTCTTGTGCTTAAGAATTACAGAAACTAAATAGAAACTGTTCTGAGACGGGTTTGAGACACCTGCAACCACTCAAACTATTCTGAGATATTTCTCAAGCTAAATTTCCAAATGTTATAAATTCCAGTAATGTTAAAGTGAAGAGATTCATTTGGCTGTGAATTATGGAGAACAAAGCAAAGTAAATAAGTCAAAGTGATTAATTTAAATAATTTCAACCCAGATTTTGGGCTTTGTAAGAAAAAGAAATCTGATCAAATCGTTTTCATCTCGTCACTCTGCTCAGGAATAAATTCCGGTTTAGAACTCACTCTTATCGCCTCCCCCTGTCAGGATGAATCGAATGGAGCGGTCCTTCTTTTTTTTGTCTTCTGGGTTTGGTGGGAGGGGCTTGGAGCCATGGTTGAGGGGGGCGGGGTCCTTGTTGCAGGAACCAATCAGGGTGCTGGTGTTTCTCATGGGAGGAGCAGGGGGCTTGTCCTCAACCTCCCCATTGTCGGACATCTTCAGAGACGCTGCAGTCGGACGCTCCTGCACAAAAACAGACGAGTCAGAGAGGACGCTGAGCAACTGACCAATCAGAGGAGGGCAATTACAAACCAACTATTTTAATTAATGATCTTATTGTTCCTTACTTTCCTATCAGAGCACTTTGCTCTCAGACTGCAGGTTTACTTGTGGTTCATAGAGTTCCCAAAATCAGAATGGGAGGCAGACCTTTCATTTATCAGGCTCCTCTCTTGTGGAAACAACTTCCAGATTCTGTCTGTGAGGCTGACACATTGTCCAGTTTCAAGATTAGACTCAAGTCTTTCCTTTTTGATAAATCCTATAGTTAGGGTTCATTCAACCTTTATTTATACAGGTTAGTCTCATTGAGCCTCAAGGACTAATTTACAAGAAAGATCTGTTTTTAACAAAGAATGATGACAACAGCAGAAAATCATAAAAGCATATAAATTGAAAAATAAACGTTAGAAAATTATATTAAAAAATGAAACAACAGCTACATTATAAAGTGATATAAAATACTATAAATGGGTGTCTGCCTCCATTAGCTCTTAACTAGTGACAGCTTCTATTAGCTCTAAAGTCTGTTTCCTTTAGCTCTTAACTAGTGCCTGCTTCCTTTAGCTCTTAACTAGAGTCTGTTTCATTTAGCTCTTAACTAGAGTCTGTTTCATTTAGCTCTTAACTAGTGCCTGCTTCCTTTAGCTCTTAACTAGTGCCTGCTTCCTTTAGCTCTTAACTAG